GACAAAACAGTCGGAGATGCGTTTATGCATTTTTTTTTCTATTTTACGCATTAGTAGTAAATCAAGACTTCGCAAGTTCTCTTGTAAAAAACTAAAAACAAAACAACTTGGAATAAACTACAGAAAGCGAGTAAAGAACTCTTAACATTAGGCTACTAAAAAGGTCAGTTTAATCTCGCAAAAACTCCCGTTAATAAAAAATCTGACTACACTGCACAATTAATCTCTTACACTGCATCTTTGTTGTTTATGATGAATTCGGTGCTTGCACGTACACCGCTTTTATTATTATTGCAGCTTTGATGTTCAAATAGCTGCAGTACTCAGACTTTGCCACAAGGAAAAGTTCGTACGCCTGCTCAGACCCTGACGTGGCGGTAAATACTTTTCCACGTCAAAGACCGTTTTTATAAATATGAACGTTGCCGGGGATTTTAGCGTACACACACTCTAAGATCAAATCTGTGCGTACGCACATTTTATAAATGAGGCCCCTGGAATCCACTGCTCCACAGGATACAAACAGATTGTATTGCAGTTGTGGATTACTTTGAGAAAGATACAAAGTTATGCTTTTAATTTACATTTTTGTCCTGAAATCATAATGTTGCAGTTAGTGACTTTAAGAAAAAGACAAACTTTGCACTTTGACTATCAGCAATGGGCTTTTAGGTATTCGAGGAGTAAATTATTGGCTCTTGAGGGGTCTCTTTGTTAGTGAATAAGGTGCTGAAAAATGCACAACAAATTCAAATAAACTGTAGCTGTTATATATGTCATATTTATATCAAATGAAAAGCATACAGTTAAGGCGTTATTACCACAAAACCCTGCTAAACTATTAAACAATATACATTTTAAGAACTCTAACTTACTGTCTGCATTATTAGTGCGGAAGCAGACATGACAAGAGCACAATTTCATTTGCTACTGTTTTATTTGATAGTAGAAACGTTAATGTACTGTACCGTAACATACCTGCTTGCAACTTTGAATATTTGTAAGATATCTTATGTGAAAACACAGTTGCAGATTATTTATTTATTTATTTTTTAGTTACTTAGTTAGTTAGTTAGGTAGGTAGGTAGGTAGGTAGTTAGTTAGTTAGTATATTTATTCTGTTTAATTAAATGAAACAAAATGGGAACCCAACTTAAACACTCCTTTTATGGACACTGAGGACAAGATGGTTTACTAAACAGCAACTTGACTGCCAGGTGATCTAAACATATTGGTAACACTTTAGGTCCTATTAGTTAATGCATTTACTAACATTAGTTAATCATTTATAATACATTAGTTAGGCCTACAGTATTTATTCATTAAACATTAGTTATTCAGTAAACTTCAGTTAATGAAAATACACCTATTCATTGTCAGTTCAAGGCCATTAAATATTAACAGATATAACATTATTTTGATTTTAATAATGTATTTGTAAATAATTATAATAACAGATATAACCTTTGATTTTAATAATATATTTGTAAATAATAATAATAATAATAATGCATCTAATCAAAATTAAGATTAAAAAATATATATGCTTTAGGATTTTTAGTTCTATGTCATTTGTAATTACTATGTCATTCTATGTAATTACTATGTAAATACTAATGTAGTTAACTAATGTTAATAATTATAACCGTATTTTAAAGTGTTACCAGCTTCTCTATCATGGAAGAAGCTGTCTTTAATATTAAAGGACAATATCTTTCCGACTAAACATTAATAGTGCGGCGATCCAGAGAAAATATCAAGAAACTGATATAATGTAATTGAATTGATGCTTTGATTGCAGTTGCCTTGATGCACATTGTTGTCATCACATCTAAACCAGCTTCAGCATGTGCATACATTCATATAAACAGTTCATATATTATTGTGAAACATAACTAAAAACAGGAAAAGGAGGTAAAAACATATTTTTTTTATTTCTGTTTCTTTCCAGGATTGCTACATAACATTTTCTATTTGCTGCTGATACGTGACATCATATCCTTATGCGAGCAAACAGGAAAATGCTTTCGCGTGCTTAAACAGGGGATCTACCACTTCCTCTACTGATACCTTTTACTTTCTGCTGAAGTGAAAGACGGAATTGTGTTCAGATCAGCTTCGATTATTCTCGGTGGTCTGACAAGACTTAGAAGGTATAGTCACGTGAAGAAAAGGAGAAGTAAAACATTCGTGTTTGACAGCCTTGATTTGACTTATTTATTAGAGCTTACACAGTCCAGATCTGAAAATGGAGAGTTCGAATGCCAGTATCTGTGTGGTCAACGACAACATGGTGCCCTTCGCCACAGTCTACATCCTCATCTTCCTGATTGGAATGGCTGCCAGCCTGGTGGCGCTGTGGGCCTTCATAACCAGCCGAAGTGCTAAAAAGTGCATTAATGTTTACCTCATCAATCTCCTGACGTCCGACTTCCTCCTCATGTTGGCACTACCTGTCAAGATTGCCAAAGATCTGGGCAATGATTCTCTGAGTTTGACCATCTTTCTCTGCCGAGTGAGTGCGCCGCTCATCTACATCAACATGTACGCGTCTGTCATCTTTCTAGCTTTCGTTAGCGTGCAGCGCTACCTCCAGATCACCCGCAGCTCCAAGCTGCTCCGACTGCAGGAAGTGGGCTTTGCGGTGCTGATGTCTTCGGTGGTCTGGTTCCTCGTGCTCTTCATCAACGTGCCCAACATGGCCATCCCTATCAAAGAAAACGTTGAAGACAAAGTTGGCCTAACGTGTTCAGACTTAAAAGATGATTTCGCCAAGCATTGGCACGCATTGTCTGTGTTTCTGGGCATGGCCATCTTCTTCAACTCCTCGGTAGCGGTGCTGTTGTCCAACGGCCTGGTCTTGAAGCGGCTCTGGGGTCGGCGTGAATCTGACCCCGAGGAACAGGCTAGTGCCCAACATGCCTTCATAAACATTGCATTGGTGACCTTGGCATACGTGGTGTGCTTCGTGCCGTACCATGCTGTGCGTATGCCGTACACATTTACGCAGATAGAGGTCATCACCGAATGCACATTAAGGAAGAATCTGTTCCTGGCTAAAGAGTCGACTCTGCTTCTCGCCATCCTGCACCTGTGCTTCGATCCAGTGCTGTACTTTGTCATCTGCCGTGCATTCAGGCAACAGATCACGAAGGCCTTCTCAAAGAGAGGCAGCGTTCCGACCGCAGACACAGAGTGAAAATTCAGCCGGAGGAGAGTTATGAACCAAGTATTAGTGCAAAATCATTTGCTGAATGTCAATGTAGTGTAAAGAAAGAGTTTCTTAAAGAACTGTGGATTAGTAATGTAGGAAAAGCCAAAAAAAAAAAAAATTAACAAAGCAGAAGACTGAAGCCTGTGGGAAAAGAATGCACAAAGACCTATTTGAGAAAAGAAAGTCAGTTAAAAAAGCTGTGGCAATACTAGTTGATAAGAATTTTGTATATGTGTAAACATAACTAAATCTACAGAAGATGTACTGTACAATGATGCTCTGAGGTGTTTAATTGTACTTATATACAAAAAGGACCAAGAGCCAGGACTCGGACTTCTACCATCACAAGGACAACCGCACCTCAAGCATGAAATTGAATATGTTTTTGTTTTATTTATTTTTTATTCAGTGGGAAATTGTTTGTGTAAGTTGTATTCCATATCCCAAATTCATAATGACAATCAATAAATAGACCTTTTTCAGATTTCCGGGTTTCTGAGCAGCGGAAGTCGTCATAGTTGGGTAAATTTCCAGAGGATTGAATGGGAGAGTACCACAAATATATATTTTTTTGCATTCCCATTTGCTCAAATAGCAAAACTCCACGGTAGTTTTTTCACAACTTTCAAGAAAGGAAAAAAGTAGATAAAGACTGATAATGGCAGTCAGAAGAGAGAACTAATTTACCGTCCCTCCCATAGACGCTGCATTAGAAACACCCTTGCATTAGTGTTAACTTTATTTTTTTTTTGTAATTTGATGCAGAGCTGATATAATACACCATTGGCCATTGAAACGCACGAAAAGGGTCCATTAAGTATGGCTGTATCCGAAATCGCCCCCTACACCCTCATTCACTATTCCCTACATCAGGTCACTAATTCAGTTTACTTGCAGGAATGAATGAAAACAAGTGAGTGAATTTGGACACTGACGGCGGTCACCGTGATTTTGCCAAGTAAGACATGTTCCTGGATCAACATCTTTTGTTGATCCTGGATCAACATTACTGTCCAAAAATACAGACTTAACCCAATCCCTACCCCTAAACCTAACCTTACCCATAATTTATTCCTAAAATCAGAGGGAAATGATAGCTGATTAACAAGAGTGTAGAAGTACCTAATCGTAAGCCTAAAACTGACATTTCCTGAAAAGTTATCCCTCAATTCTGATTGGTTGATTGGAATGATGTTCCAGGATCAACAAGGATGTTGATTTAGGAACATGTTGTACTTGGTCAAATCACGCTCACACACTGAAGGCACCGGAAGGACTGCCGCTTTTGCATAGTTTGTGCTTGCAGTTTAATAATCATTTGAAACTGGCAAACTGGCCGCTCCAGTAGTAAGATTAAAGGATTTATCTTGAACTCTGTCATGGAAATTGTATTCCATGTATAAGTTAAATGTATAGGTTAAAAAAAATAATAATCAATTTACAGTGAATTTATTCCTGTGTTGTATTACTCTGTATTATGCCGTGAACGAGTGCTTAGTAAAATGAATGGGTGGATGATTCATCTGTGGGTGCCATCATCTGGTGCGACTCTTACAGTGCATTATGGGTATTCTCTAGCCTTTGAGCATCAGTTGTACACTCGTTTTTGCGGTGCATTGCATGAGTGCACTCAAAAATGTCTACTATGGTTTCGGACACCACTACAAATGGCTGTCCCCTCAAATATATAGTGCCCTATTTAAGGGTACAGGGGCGATTTCGGATAAAGCCTATGTTTCTCAAATTATAAGGGTTGATTATAAAGAAATGTTTTTATTTTGTTTTACTCTTTTAACTATTTTAGTTTTAATAAATCATTGTTATCACATTTAATAATGTCTTATTTCTCTCCCGAGTCTCTTTCTGATTAATGACCTTTTGCATTGAAGGTTACATCATGTTTGCTCTGATGACATGCTGTGTGTCTAGTGTTTAGCCTAGTGAAGGCTAAGTCAAAACGGGCATGGCTATTATTTACTTGGGATATTATTTCATATTCATACATTTAGCTAGCCCGCTATTATACCACACATAATAAACTGTAACCCTATTAAATGCAGCCAGAGATGGCGCGAGACATTCAACCCGGTTGCTTGGAGACGGAGGACGGTGAAGGCGCTTGGCGTAACTCTATCCAGAGAAGACATTGGGATCCAACTTTACTCGGCCAACATGTGCTACCTAGCATTAGGGATCGTTTTATAGCATTCGGTTAGACTTAAAGGGGAAATCGACAACAGCACAATGTCCTTTCCCATGTTGGATTATAGGAAGATCGCCGTTGCGCGTTATTCTGTGGATATCCATTGATTACTGTGGCTGCGCTCTGTCAAACATAATGCCTAGCCGTCAAAAGCAAATTATATTCTCTGTCGCTGGCGTGCTTTGCTTTGGTTGTGTTCTGGTCGTGGCTGCCGCGATGGGGACGCAGTTTTGGGTTCAAGCGGCGGTTCTGTGCAAGACGGGCGCGCAGATCGTCAACGCGTCCGGAGCAGAGCTGGAGAAATTCATCGGAAGGACGAACTACGGACTTTTCCACGGCCAGGGCATGAAACAGTGTGGTCTGGGAGACAGACCCTTTTATTTCGCTTGTGAGTAATTTAGTCATATCAACCCGTTTAATCCCAATTTTGTTTCCAAGGTACATGAAAATATCCAAATGATGTGTCATTAGTAAACCCTTTGAAATAATCAGTAACTTTTTTTTTCTTTCTTTTTGGAAAAGTGTGTGAAAAATTGTGTTTTATGGTCGGTCACAATTGTGACCGGTGGGATAATGTGTGTAGGCTACTGAATTAACATATTTCTGCAGTCATAAAAAAAAAATATTATATATCTTTAAACTGTTTGATCACATTCTAGGGTTACTATTGTACATTTAAAAAAAAACCTTATTAAAAAACATTAATAGGAATGCTGAGATAAAAGACAAAAAATACAACCATCAGCATATTTCAAAATTTTTACTTTTTTGTAACATATATCATAAAATTTTTATATTAGTGCTACCAGTATTACCACATATTGTAAATTATTTGTTACATTTAAACTTTTAATTTAGTGCAATATTTTGTCATTGCAACATTTTAGTGCAATTTTCAACAACTGCAATTGGATTTATATTGTATACCTAAATTCACCGTTATCCCACCGGTCACTATTGTGACCATCAAGATGTTTACTCATTCTATGACCATGCACACTCAACAAAACTGAATATATGTGCATTAATATATTAATACTAGACACCCTAAAGATAATGTGTACCAAAAATCATTGTCATATCTTTATGTTAGCCTTTCGTTTTTGGAGCTTTGATGCAGCCATCATCTTTTCAAGGTGCAGACAGGAAATAAACTGCTCTGTGACAATTTGCACTAACCATGTGAAACTGCACATATTTAATTGAGAACCTTTATTTATTTATTTAATCGATATTTGCAGGAAGTGCACTAAAACATCAGTCAGTAAGTTTTTTTTTTTAGAGCTTTATAAATTAAAACCTCTTTTTTTTTTTACGGTCACTATTGTGAGCGGTAGGATTAAATGGGTTAAGACAGTGCAACCAAAAATGAAAACGTTGTCACCATTTATTCACCCTCACGCTGTTCCAAACCTGTATGAGTTTCTCTCTTCTGCTGAACATAAAATGAGATATTTAGAAGAATGTTGGGAACCAAACAGTTGCTAGGCTAACCATTGACGTCCATAGTATTTTTTCCCCTGCTATGGAAGTCAATGGCTACCAGCAACTGTTTGGTTACCAACATTCATCTAAATATCATCTTTTTTTTTTTTACACTTTAGGAGTAAAGAAGGTACAAAAGGTGTCCCTTATAGGGACAAAATGTTGCACCCCTAAAGGTACCATTTCTATACTTGTTTTTTTTATTCACCCTTTTCTTTCGGAAGTTTCTTTCTTCACTGACAGAAAAAAAAAAACATGACAGGATTTTCATTTTTGGGTGAGCTATGCTTTTAAGAAAAGAACAGTACAAGTGTTTATAAGCACACCAGAAATCTAAATAGTTTTATTATTTAGACCACACAGAAATGCAATATAAGAAAACGGTAATACTGTAATACATGTGCATATACAGCTTCTCTAAAAGTGTTTGGACACTTGAGTAGTAGGCCTACCCTTGTTGCATTACAATAAATAACAATCATAACAATTAACAAACTTATTTTAAGTCATAAAACAATAGATAAGCTGTACAAAATGAAGAAAGTATTGTGATCTGTGTGGATCCTAATCAAATAGTGGAACCTATCAGTTAATGTACTGAGCACATGTGTGAACTTGAAGGGAAGTGACTTCAAATCACGCTGAAAGTTGGTTAAAGGTCACTGCAAAAACTGCTCAGAAAAGTCAAGTTAGTGATCAGAAAAGCTCTTGCATCATTCCTTTGCAGGTACCACGTGTGCTTTGTTATTTTGTATCTAATGCAATGACTTTTTTTGAATATTGATCCTTAATGTTATTATATGGCATAGTGCATGAGTCATATGGACTACTTTCATTATATTTTTATACTGATTTTGCATCCTTTATGAAGCATTAAAAGCTTTTGTAAATGCTTGGAAAAGATCAACCATTATGTTAGTCAAAGTTTCTCCTTTGTGTTCTATGAAAGAAAGAAAGATATACAGGTTTGGAACGACAATGATGACCGAATTTTCAATTCAATACCCTTTAAAGGTCCAACTACGTTTTGAGTCCACTGATGTGTAACAAACCTATTTCAAAATGACCTTCACAAACACATCACATTTTTTAAGTCATCATCAATCTTTTGCTTTAGAAAAATGTTCCTACGTATTTTATGCATAGCAAGTAAACCCCCTTCTGACTATAGATTTAACAGATTTAAAAGAGTCTAAGGGGCTGTTTCAAGAGACATCTGATTCATTGTTCAGTTGATCAGATTTTAGTTTTTCAGTTGTTTTTTCTCGAGTTTTGGGAGGGACTCGTCTCGTTGATGGGGTTTTGAATGGGTCTCAGATTGATCTTTCATGACAGCTTCATGTACAATGATTCATTCTTTCCTAATGAGATCTGGAAAAGCCCCAGATTCGAGAGCCAGACTTTTAGCAGAACAAAAGAATATTGTCATCGTAAATTTGTTTTTACTCACAGTGAGATGCATGCAAATTGTGGACAGATATGATCAGA